GTCATCATCATCGTCATCTTCATTGTTCATATGTTATTTTATTATCGTAAAGAGCCTTTCCTTGTATTAGTAGACCGGTGTTTGGAGTCCAAAGCATAATGCATTTAATACATTTCATTAATACATTAAGAGAGAATTCTTTTCGTATCAAGCAGTGAGCGCCAAAAACTATTTTCTTGAAGAAAGGCTGTTATTACAAGGCTAAAATCTTGTTATTCAGAAAGTCTAACTTGTTTGGAAGGTGGAGATGACCGATGAAAGTGGAATCAAAGTGTTAACCCAAAGCAAAAATTTTATTCGAAAATGACTTTTAGGCCTTCATTTGCTTATTTCCCATATATTTTCTATAAAAAAGCCTGACAAAGCAACATTCTAACACAAATGCAACAAAACATCTTTGTACAATTGACTATACCGCTTCAAACAAACATTTTATCTAGTACATCAGTTTCTAACTGTTAAAAAAGGTTTTGAGTGTTGGCCCAAAACGAAAATTGGAATCAAAAGTCATACGGAAGTCTAGTTTTTGCCGCCTTTTGCCATTATTGCTCATTATTGAAAAAACTTCCTCCTCTTAATACATTGATTAAAACATTTAATAGCCAGAGTTTCCCAATATCTTCCCTCATGCAAAGATTGTTTTTTACCATGGCACTCAAAAAGCATCACATGATTGTTTGCAATATATGTTATAAAGAACAATATAACATATATATAAAAACAATGCCTAAGGGCTGTTTTGACCTAAAAATACGAGGCAAATCATCAAGCCCTATACTTGCCTCTGCTCGAGTTCCTGATATCACGAATACTATCATGTACTTATGTTCAATGCTTTTGAATTTATTTAGAAGACTTTTGTGGTATTTGGATTGTCACCTAAAAACTCGCAACTAAACGCTTAATTCTAGACTCTAAGAAAAAGAAAACAAGTTGCCTAGCGATAAAATCACTTTCAAAACTTAAAAGTTAGATAAAATATCGACAGTTAAAGGAAAAAGAGTAAACACTACACTACGGAAATAAGAGCCACTATCTTTGCAGAGGTCTGAAGTATTCCCGCCATTAATGAGATGTCTCATCGCCTACACATGAGCTCATTATACGAACTTACAAGCAATATATTTTTCGATGCATCATATCAATACCGCCCCCTCCACACGTGCCATGGCCATATGCAGCATATTTCCCCTATCCCCCGCGTTACCTTCAAATTAATCCTTACAGATTTCATATTTTCCCTTCCTTGCTCTATAAACACTTTTACGCACTCCTTAACRTTTTACCCACCTAAAACCCTTTCCCCTCTTCCCTTGCTTAGTTCCGAATACCTGTGTTTTCCATAGTATTCTCGGATTTACTTCCGAGATTCTATGCTTTAAATCTGACAGGCAGGAAAAAAAATTTTCCGGTCATAATGTATACCTGTAACTAACGTTGTTTTCTGGGAAAAAAACTCGTCAGAATATCGAGAGTTTTAGATTGACTYTTTTTCTTCCCCGCAAACGGCAAACGTGACCACGTTTTCATCGTTTTCCTGTATTTTACTTTGCCTTTTACAAACCTTCTCACCAAGCGCAAATATTCTTTTGTTTTTCTACTAATTGGACTTTTTGCGATTCTTTTTCAGTAATTTAAAAGAATTTTTTACTGGTCAACTGACGTTTCACGTTTGCCGTGAACGTAAATCTAAAACTCTCTATTGTCTAACGAATTCATGTAAAACGTCCTCGTCCTCGTCCTCGCCCTCTGAAAAATGCTCGAGAGAATATAACGGATTGTCTAACGATCTTATAAATCCATTCCTTCTGCAGGGATTACTAACTAAGCAATTAGATGATAAACATCAATACAAAAAAGCGTTGTCCCGGCCAGTCTTGTGTAGAGATAAAATCCAGTCTAAAAGGAGTACAATTTTTAAATATTCAAATTATATTTTTAATTCTAAAAGCTTAGATTCTTTAGAAACAAAGTTATCAATATTGGAAATGAGAGTATTTCGCTAGCAAAATCAGGAAACTTAGAAAATTTTCCAAAAAAAGTTATCAATATTTGCAATATTAATAAATGAAATGCGGAAATGGGATCTATAGTCTCAGTGCTAGCAAAATAAATAAGGAAAATGAGAAAAATTGGCAAATATGAGGCTTAGAATTACTCGTTTATTTATTTATTGGAGCCCAGTTGCTTTAGCTTAATCGCAAGTTCACTTGAAAAAGTATCGAATGCTTTGATATGGCTTCAAGTTTCAATCGGAAAGGGGAGAGCGGATACGTATGTAATGATGAAATGGAAAACGGACGTAGATTAGCAGCATTTAGCCATACAATAACCATGGAAATAAATAAATATGAGGAGGAACATTATAAAAACATTTAAAAGACTATAAAGTTTACTAGAATACTGTTATAGGATATGACTCATTTAAAGAGAATATACTAAAAACCGACCTTAAAACACTGAAAAATTATAAAAGAATACAAATAAAGAAAACAATGAAAATAAAAACTACAAACTCCATAATTCACAGATTAAACCTATAGCTGAACCACTTTAACATATTAAAATGCAAGCAGTTTTTTCATTTCTTGTACTCAAATAATTCGACTCCTTTTGTATAAACATTAGAAGAAAAACGTTTGTCCAAATTCATTCATTTTGCTCGCATCATTTTATTTGTTTTCTTTCTTTTTCTCTTTAATTTCCGACTAGTCTCATTTAACCCAACAGTTAACAGACTAATGAGAGGTTAGCATATCTTATTTTCATTGTTCACTGAAGCTTTGTTGCTCTATCTTGTCTAATTTACCCACCTAATACTGATAAGCTTTGCCGTCCACCTGGCTTCCTCGTTATCCGTCGCTTGTAAATGTTAAATCTTTATGAGCGCGTTTGGGAGGCCGTGTGTCTGCTTTGCCGGATGGATTTTYCCCCATTCTTTTTCCCGCCTACTCCTTTCATCGTTTTAACTCCTATCAATCTCAATATCCTAACTACAACAATGATCATTAATATTTAATGATCAATAAAGATATATTAACAATTCAGTGACGTATGTGTCCTACGGGTCCTAAAGTCTTTATATTTAACAATTATTCCCCGAAAGCGAAGTGAATATCGGGGAATATTTACCGAGGCGCGAGTCTTCGAGCCGGCGAGATAAATATTCCCCGATATTCACTGAAGCTGAGGCAAATAATTGTTTTAGTGTAAATACACAGGTGATTCTTTCAAAAAAAGGAAAAAAGAAGATTAAAGACTTTTTTTCCTGTTAACAGCAACAAAGCGGCTGGTCGCCATTTTGGATTATCGCCGGAGGTGATTATCGTGTGATAGTGTGAGTTTCTCGACCAATCAGCGCGCGAGATTTTCAATAATCACCTGCGTATTTCTAATAAAATCGCATAATACTAGATAGGATCTATCTATTTGTTCAGATTCTTTTTTCCCTTTACTTATTTGCTTTTTTATTGTTTTATTCTCTTTTGTTTCTTTCTGCATGTATTGGACAAATAACTAATACGGTGAGCTAAAAAGGAGGTCGTTCGTTTTGACATGGTTAATCGTACGAGTTATCGCTTCAACCGGAAAGAGAAAAATCTACCGAGCGCGGGCTTGTTCTTTAGAGGCTTTGTGCTGTGAGTAAATAAAGTTGCCCTGTTTCCCAGGCATGTTACACCGTTTGGCGGTAAAAATCTTATAGTAAGACTTCCCAAGCTCGTTTTCTAAGATAGACAAGCAGAAGAAGCCAAGTTGATTTTTGAAGGTGAAAAAATGGCGAAAAAGGGGCGATTGACAAGAATTGTTCAAGACGGGCAGTCAATATAGTGAAATAATTCAAGATGATGGTGATGATTATCGGTGGTGATTATGATAATGAAATCTTTATTTAGGCCAGTATCTTTTAGATTTTGCATTACTGTGTGACAATACTGAACACATAATACCACTACTGATATTCAATAGTTAAATGCCTTAACTCACATTTTGATTTCTAAGAAAGCAAAAAACTGCGAGTTTCATGTAAGAATACCCCTTAAAGATCAGCAGAAAGAACAACTCTAACCACATTGTGGGGCGTTTGCATGAGTGGAAATAACAGCGACGCAACTCGAAGGACTAGAGCATTTTTTTTTTAGATTAAAAAAAAAAAAATAAAATAAATAAAATAAAATAAATACTAATAGTAGTACAACTCAAAGATTTTCTAGAGTTGTCCTGTTTGTCGAGTGAACAGTCCGACACGATAAACAGCTGTATTGGCCAGGAAATCTAATTTTTAAAATGCTTATTTTCTCGATCTATGATTGGTTGACCGGTGTGTTGGCGGATTTCTTGCTAAATGTCTGCTTTACGGCAAGAAAACTATTTACGCGAAGCTGCTGTTTAAATTTGTAGTATCTAAATAAGCCAAAGTGTATTTCACGGCCGGTTAACGTTTATAAAAWCCACTCTAAACTGCGGGTTCACAGAACTTCATTAATCAAGCTTCCTAAACGAATTTCAGTCCGATTCATGAAATCCGCCAAATTGTCTTACCAAATCTGTCTAGTTTTCAATAAGCTGGAGGCCCGACACACAATAATTTGACATATTTATAAATATAAAGATATAGGATCTTTATATTTCAATATAGCCTTCAGAAATTCCACTAAATGATGTGGAGCAAATCCGACACTGAATTCAGTCCTAACAAGAAGTTTTGAATGACATGGCAACCGAAAAAAGGGATTAGATACTTGATAAGGCATTTGTATTCTTAGGGTTAGGGTTAGGAAATAACTATATTAATCTTTCGGATAATATTAACACATATTATAAGGCTATTATATCTTAGGATAGAGTGAGTTTTAGATATATATCCTACGGCAAATGATGATTAATTCAAGAAACCATCGGCAAAAAAGTCAAAGTTCCTCGGAAAATCATTGCTTAAAAACACCTAAATAGAAGCCTTCAAAACCGTAAAAAAAACGATAAACAAAAGAAGGAATTAGAAACCAAGTTATTTTATGTTGTTAGTCATGAGAAACCCGATAGTTTTTCTATTTTTTTCTGGCCTCAAGAGACTCAAGAAACTAAGCAATTTTTAGTATTGAAAAATTTCAACATTTTTGTTAGTTTTTTTACAATCTTATAAACTGTAATATTTGCTTCCCTTTTTAACTCGATAAAAAAATACTTGTATATATTCCAAAATATCTGTAACTTCAAACTCTAAAATTTTTGAAAACGAATTGTTATCACTGATAAATCAAAACTTTCGATAAATAATGCCTTAAAGTTATCATAGATAAACTCTCAGTAAAAATGTAAGTACCTTCGTTTATAGCTTACATGCTACATCTCTCATATTCAGTTCAGTTTTAAACAACTGCAATGATGAATCAAAATTTTCGATAAATAAATGTTTTAAAGCTATCAGAGATAAACATAAAGTGAACTTTGTTATTTGGACGCGCTATCAAAAGCAAAAGCTATGAAAACTCACCTCCTTTTGCCAGCTGTTAAACGTTCGGATTCCGCTCAAATGAAGCTACCCGAATGGGATTGAATGGCTTTAAAGCACTGATCCAAACACTCGTCACTATTAGCATATATATTATAATAATTTAACTGATTGAAAAACATGGATCTTAATTGTTTGTCGTGAGAAAGGTATGAGATTGTGTGGACTTGAGAGTCGACAATGCAGTTGTTAATTAGACAGTACTAAAGTTTATTGTTCTAGCAATTAAATTGCAGGGTTTTCAGCTGCAGAACAATACTAYGAATCCCTAGATAGAGGCAGGACTCTTAGTATTACAACTGATATAAAAGTCGTCATTACTAAGACATTACTCGTCTAACACACATCCTGTGCTCTGATTGGCTGAGCCACTGTTAGTCTATTAGTGATAGACCCCTAGTAGCTCACATTTTCAATCTAAGTTCAAAACTTTTTGTATCCATTTAAGGTTTAGACTAAAACGATATTAGACCCAAAGCGAATCATTTACGCCTATGGTCTAGTTGTTAGATATATCTATAGATAATAGTGAGTTTTAAAAAGCAAAAGAAGAAAAAAAAGATAAAATAAAATACAATAAAATGAAATGAAATAAAATGAAATAAAAATGAAATGAAATGAAATGAAATAAAAACGAAATGAAATGAAATGAAATAAAAACGAAATGAAATGAAATGAAATAAAAACGAAATGGTTTTTACTTACTGAATTCATCTGCAAAAACCAGAGAAAATCAAGTATTTCATTAAAACTCATGCGGTAAGTTAAGATTGCATGCTTAATTGGTTTCTTAAATTGGGTTCCCTAAAATCGTATTCGTACGAAATGAAATATTCAGTTGAGTGAAGGCCTATTTTATTAGTGTGAAGAAAATCAATAATTCTCGGTAACAGCCCATCGTCTGACATCCCCAATTAGAGGACTGAAATTTAAAACGGGGAAAATAGAATATCATTACCTACCAAGCAATAAATTGGAAGTCGTATCATAGACTTGACACTTGAATGGTATCTGGATTATATTTACTACCCGGGGGAGGGGGCACTCAAAGGAGACAGAAGGGTTGCTATCGAAACGCCCCGTCTCTTTACGCGGTTTTAGACTGAATAGTGCGAGTTGAGAGACCAGGTTGATTAAGTCACGAAAATATAAAGAGATCTATAACAAGACGTTTTATAACAACATATAGAATTAGTTTTAGCAAAAATTCAATTAAGATTTATAGCACCGGAAAATTAGAACGAATAACTACACTTATGAATAACATCTTCATGCTTTTCCTCTTATGACTAATGAAGAAGGTAATTGTACTATATCTTATTAGCTACAAAGAGAACTCTAATAATTCCAGGTGTAGATCACTACAGCTTGCTTTATTTCGGCTCGTCGTTAAAAAGGATTCTCATTAGGATGGATTCTACTTCTTTTTCATTTGCTCTAGGTGTTAAATAAAATGGGATTTAAATAGATACGTTTTTAATGGCTTGCAGGATCTTGGACGTCGTTTTGATCTCTTATTTTCTGGTTTCGTGTCGTAGAAATAATCAAATGCAATAGTTTGAGGACTCATTTTGATATGTTTTGACTTAGCATCCGCTAGTTGCCCCCCAGTCAACCGCTTGTTTGCCCCCAGTCAACTCTAAAAAGCCACGTCATTGATAGATAGCAATATAGCCTGGATTGACAAACGAATATATATATGTTTTCCCATTTCAGAACACGTCATTAGTTCTGTTGAGAATAAGATTGTTTGARTTGCATCCATAATCATGTGTCTTTTCATCCACAACCGTTAAACAAATAAATGATAAACTATATAATTTAATTTAACTCTCCTTGTGCGCAGTCAGATGGAAGGACACGTGGTGTGATGTACGTAGAACCATGATACCCTGTGCGCAGTCAGATGGAAGGACACATGGTGTGATGTACGTAGAACCATGATCCCCTGTGCGCAGTCAGATGGAAGGACATGTGGTGTGATGTACGTAGAACCATGATACC